GCAGCAGCAGCAGCAGCTTTTGGATTGACATCATTAAGACCACACCGCATAGGAGCTGCTCGTGTGGAGAGCCACTCGGCGCGACTTAAGCAGTGGCCAGCTAATAACCGCCAAGAGGGAGGGGGCTGGGGCAGGTAGGCAGGGGTCTCCTCCTGCCGCTGTTGCGTAGAGCCACTTAAGTAAAGACGCTGTGCGTCAGCGTCCATACAGGAACCAGTCAGCAGCGCTTCTTTTCCAACCCCGTCTCCGGTTGTGCTTGTTAGCTGTCAAACTCGAAAATTTGCAATGACAGCAAACATTGGCAGCGCCAGCGCCGGCGTCTGCACCAGTGGCAGTGGCAGATAAGCAGCAGCAAAATGAACGCAGCGCCGTTGCACAAACTAAAAACTCATTGTCAGGCGCTGTCTGTGCCAACGAGGCAAGCAGCAACCCGATCCGCATTGGGGGTGCGTTGCTGCATAATAAACTGAAACTGCAGCAGCAGCACAAGCGCGGCACAGCGGCGGCCAACGGACAGTCGAAGCACCGTCTATAGAGGGCCAGCGGGTCAGAGGCAGGCTCAGACGCAGGCTGGAACAATAGGGCGCCAGCTAGCTGCTTCTGCTGCTGCTACGAGCTGCGTGGCCCGTGGCCAGTGGTATGGCGGCAACTGCCGCAGCGCAAAGAAACAATAAACACACGAAAATAATGTAATGAGTGGCAGCAATGGGACAAGTGCAGCTTAGGCTGAGAGTGCAGCGACAGTGGCACAAACGGTAAGACAAATGTTCAAATTATAAGCAAATATACGAATACGCAGCAGCGGCTGTGGAGAGTTTTTTTTTATGGAAAAAGCATCTCAAAGTATTTGTTTTATTTATTTCTTAAAAATAGATTTGCCAGTGCCGAACCGCTTGCTTGATTTTTTCTGTTCTGAATAATAACATATAAAAAACATTCATTTGCACAAATACATAATACCCTTTTAACGCACTTTCAATGGGTACAGCGCATAAAAAGAAATTTAAAAATTGAAAAATTGATCATGCTGGATTTGAACCGGTAACGTTTAGCTTTATATATAATATATATATATATATATTATATTTTCAAAAACTTCCGCTTAATACTCGATAGTAAAGTAATCTTCAGTATGAAATTATAATTCAACCTACACCTTTTTAATTAATTTTTCAATATAGTAAAGAGCATATTAAATTCATTTTAAAACATGCGCCGTGAGAAACTCGCCGAGTGGGCGGTTACGCTTGGCTTTGGGTAGAGTAACTGCACTGAGGGGAGCTGCCACATGGCATCCATAATTGATGCGCCCTGCATTACTAGACAAAAAGCTTGTGGCAGACAGAGGGCAAACTATGGAAATGCAGAAGGAGAGAGCGGGAGAGAGTGACGGTGAGAGAGCACGACGAGTGCCCTCAAAGGGCAGCAAACAGAACGCTGCTGTCTCCGCTAGTCCCTTTGCAAATGTGGCACATGCAACTGCGCTGTGCGGCAACAATCATCGACGCGGCAGCATCCAGCAAAAGCTCATGCCCCGCTGCTGCTGCTTCTTATTAATTAAGAATTATTTTAATTAACGTAATAAATTTGCGGCCAGGCAAAAAAAGGCTCACAATGCGCACTCGCATAAACATTTTTTTTGTTTGCTTTAATTCTTTGGGGCCAGGTTCGCGACTTTGGACTTGGACTTGGGATGCGGCGTCTGTGGCAGCGACTGAGCTTGCATGTGCGCTTCGTTGCAGCCCCGAAATGTGCGAAAATTTATGTTGCATGCGATTTTGGTGACTTGTTTGCAACTTGTTTGCCATGTTCGATTGAAGCCAAAGCCGAACCACCGAAGCAAGCCAGCAAGTGGGTCATCAGCAGCGGCAGCGGGCACCACTGTGGTTGCCACTGCCGAATTTCAATTAAATGCACATAAATTTAAAATTAGTAATAACTTCGGGACGTGGACCTGGACAAAATGTAGCCAGGCACGCAACGCGGACCAGGATGACGCAGCTGTCGCCCGCATTGTGAAGCGGACGTGACCCGTTGCCCGCTCCAGCCCCAAACACACACACACACACACACACATACATACATACCTGTCGGCAGCCTCAACTCGCCGGATCGCATCCAGTTAAAAAATCTGTGTGCCTATTAATTAGCCAAACTTCAACACCTGCTGTGTGCCGCAGACCAAAAGTTAACTTGACAACAGGACGGGCGAATTGCGAGTGCCCCCTTTTTGCCGCAGCTCTTCTTCGTATTTGGGCTGTGAATTGGAAAATAATTGTGCGACGGCCATTAAATTACAATGCCCAATGGACAACGTTAGACAAGGACTGGCATCGGCCGGATTGTAGTCTGGTTCAGGGCTTGGCAGCGCCGGGTGGGGTGTGGGGACGCTATATTTGGCTTTGCTTTTGGACAGCAGCAGGTGCCAAAGCACATTGGCCACGTCCCGGCAATTATGGCCATTATAAATAAACAAAGACCGAATAGTTATTAACTAATAACTGGCACGCGCTGCAGGAGCGGGAGTTTTTGATAAACTACATGAAACTTTCATGCGACGACCACCTGGCGACAGGTCGACAGCGGGTCGAAGGTCAAGGCTGTCAATTTGTTGAAGAACTGGAAAACAAATCAATGAACTTTGAACACCCAAAGTTAATTGCCCGAATTGGTTTACGAACTGGACAACAGTTGTTAGCCCTAAACGTCTGATTCGCAGATAGCCGAAAGTTTGTATGTGCCCCGACTTCTCCAAATAAATATTGACATTCATTAGCGTACAAATATGTATATACAAACAATATTGACTCTTACATGTTTATTTTAAAAAGGTAATTCCACTTAAGTGCAAGTCCCCAGTGCGATATCAGATTAAAGCAGGCTACCCCGCCTAGGACTATGGTCAGATAGGGCCAAGCGCTTAAAAAAGTGTGAAGTGGGCAATTGGAAAGTTATTTTCAACCGTTAGATATTATCAGAAACAACTAAGCTCAGACCTAGAAGTCTTAAGAGGATTACATTAAAAGGCAGCATATGCATAAAATGAGAGTCCTACTATTTATATTTTAGCCATAGCTTAGTCATTTTAATAATATTCATTATATAAAAGCTTTCTACTAACCCTTTAGTTGTACATTTTTTTTAGTAGATCTCTTTGTTTTCCTTATCGTGTAAGCTTTCGCATCTACAAAATAAAAAATTGCGAAATTGATCCCATGCATACTTTCATGTATATTTTAACATTCGTCACATAACTCTTTAAAGGGTATCAAAACTCGAGTACTCTTAAATTCTCACCCTCCGGGGTTTTAACACTTGATGCTGTTTAACCTTAACATTGTTGATGGGGATTTGAGCTGCGTATTGGGTGGCATTCGACATAATCGAACTAATCAATTTGCGTGAATAAACTGCACACGGTTTATTATCAGGTGGGCTGGTGGCACGTGGCGCGTGCCACATAGCCGCACGGTGGCGCCCATGCGCCCCGTGCGACATAAATCTTTATTTACAAAAGTGTAAACAAAAATTACTCATTCACGCGCATTTAAAAGAGACGCCGCATACGCCGGATGCGAGCGGAAACAAAGCAGAAGTGAAAAAGTAAAAGCGGGGGTGGAAGAAGCGTGAAAAAGGCTGAAATGTGAAAAATCAACGACTTCAACAGGGGCACAATGGAAATGGAAATGGGAATGAGAACGGGAACGGGAGCCAGGGAATAAACAGGCAGCTCCAAATGTGTGTATTAGCATGTGTGGCGGGAGGTTAGGCGGGTATTTGCGAGGAGGCCAAGTACTAAAAACCCCTAACACAAACCCCATGTGCACGCTAATGGCTCTCCAGTGTGTTTGACGTCGTCGCTGATGTCGTTGCGAGGCGAGGCCAGGCGGCCCCTGTGAGCCCAGAGCAGCCTCTCGGCAACAAATTCAGTCCCTGCTTGGGCCCCGAAGTTGGCCGCGTTGAAAAGTCAATGATTGCCGCGTTGCGGAAATTAACGGAAAATCAGCAGAGCAGGCGAAAAAGGCAGCTGCCTGTTAACAACATCGACAACAACAACAACAACAACAACAACAACAACAAATACGCAGAATGCCTGATTTAATGTACAAAACTTTTTGATGTTTTCTGATGCTGGCAACCGTGAGACAGAGGCTGAGCTCCGACACAGCCTAACATCAGGCAGACATTTTGCTTATTTAAAAGTAATTATGGGCACAACCGGAGCACCTACGACGTCTCAGTGTCAGTTGGAACGGACCGAAAGGCTCGTCCGTGCTGCTTACTCTCCTCTCGTCCTGTCAGCTGCCAACTCATTCAAGCAGAATGCGGCAAATCACGCACCCAACTTTGGGCCCGCGCCGGGTCCGGGTCGAGGTGTAGTATATATACATATTTCGTATAAATGTATACAAATTATGCGTATTTATCAGGAAAATTCAATGAACTGTAAATGGTGTGGAAGTTGTTCATGTGAGTCGACTGTGCGCGTGTGCATGTGTGTGAGTGTGTGTAAAGGTGTTTTGCGCCACGACCCATTGTTGTGTTGCGGTTGTCTGTTACAACATTAAGCCAAGGGGTCGGCCTGAGAATGCGCACAGGTGTGTGTCAAAAGGCATGCGAAATGGGTGGCAGGGGCAGGTGTTAGGGAGTCGGGGCTAGGCCGCCAAGCGACAAGAGGTGTGGCAGGGCCAAAGCAATGCATTCGAACTGGGGGTGCTAAATAATGAAGAGGCAGCTGGAATTGGGACGGAGCCAAAATGACTTTTGTACGTGTGTGTATTGGGTTTATATTAAAGGCTCCCTATTGAAACTAGCAGTTGCTGAAAGAATTCTCAACGGGGAAAATACAGTGAGAATAGAAATGAACTAAAGTTGTTGGAAAAAAAAAATAAGAGAGAGAAACAAAAGTGTCATTTATAGCGCAAATAAGTTAGAACATATTAAAAGGACCATAACAGAAGAAGAATTATAAATAATAGTATTTCTCGTTGTACAACTATAATATTTACATTTTTTACAGATAGCAGTGAAGGTTTTCCATACAAATTTGATTGTTGCCACTGAGAAAAGGAGAAGTAAACACGGGCAAGTTAAAGCTTTAAATCCATAGTCCAGCAAGTTCTCATAATATATGTGATATCTTTTAAATTTATGGAATTGGTTTTGCCTTTCCAAGTACACTGCGTATTTCTTAACATTTTTAACAAAGTAATTCGGATTCTAAAATCTAGCGTCTTGGATCATTAAAACTTTAGCTTAGGAACTGCATTTGCTGACTGCTGCTGCTGCTTCTTTATTCTTCTACTTTGCTTCTTCTTGTTATTGGCATTGTTGTTGGGAGCAGAGCGGTGTTTGCCACTTGGCAGGCGACTGAAAAACTTTTCATTTTACAACAACTGCTGCAACCGAATGCGAACTGTGAACCCAAACCGGAAGTGAAGGCGGACAGAGGCGTAGTGCGGTGTGGTGTCGGGAGTAGGCAAGTGTAAAAGAAATAAACGGACTTAAAATAGGAAAAGTCAACATGAGCTGTGCGTTGTGTCCTGGGACAGGACGTTGCCTTGCTGCCAGGGACTAACTTATTTTATTTCCAGCACAAGGCGAAAAGGCGGCGCAATGTCCTGACATACTACAACAGGAGGACAACGCGCACACTGGCTAGGGGCTAAGTGCAAACACAAAGATGAGATTTCTTCCATCCACATCCTCAGCTCCCTCAACTAATACTTGTTTTAAGGGGGTGGGGGTGTGGGGAGGTCACAAAAGCGTAACGGCGCTCAAAATGACTGACACGGCTTGCTGGTCACATGGTCAAGAGCGCGCAGCGAGCCGTGGCTAGAAAGTACACACACCAGCTCCAGCACACACACACACACACACATACTGAGAGACAATACGAAATGAAATTCCATCGCTGTTCCCCCCAGTAGAACATTTTGTATCTGGGCTTAGTTGTTTTAAACTTTATTGTTTACGCTTGTGATCAGCAGTGCTGCCGACGTCAACGTCGCCATTTTGTTGACTGCCGCCATTGATGCTGCCTGCCTGCCGTTTGCTGCTTCTTCTTCTTTATCTCCTACAGCTACTTCGTGCTCTGCTTCTTGTTCAGCTCGCACTTTGGACCATTGTGTGGCTCTAAAACATAAACGGAAGCGATTTATGGCGCAAACACAATGAACGAGTCAGCAGCAGCAACAACAATAACAAACAACACAACAAACAGCAGCAAACAACACACAAGAAAATGACGCACAACAAAGGACACGGATACGGTCAGCGCAACAATTTGTGTAGTGTTGACCAGCATCACTCTTCAGGCTCCTACAGCTACACATCCCTAGTACTCCTCGCTGTCCTGGCAGCTCATAAAAAATACAAACAAACGGACGTCAACTCAGATTTAATGCGGGGTTTGGGCAGTTGGGAAGTTACGAAACATGCTCCAAATTCCGCCAAAAACTAGCTGAACAGCATTTTGCCGCGTTTTCAAAATGGAAATCATTATATTTATTGATTAACTTAAATACATTTGTCAGTTATGCTGTTTCTTTTTAATAAATGAAAATAAACTCCGCAGTATCTGCACAAAAATTCAACCAAATTGTTTTTTAATAATTGCTTATAATAATTTTAATTATGGCCAGTTGGAAAATGTTAATAAAATAGCTTAAACACGACAGCGTTTTGTACTTTCCGAATACAATTGCCAACTTTGAGAGATCTTCAATATACCATTTATTTTAATAATTGTTTCTCTTTTTTATTTTTGGTATTTTGCTTATTTAGAAACAGGTTGAAAATTACAAGAATTCAGCCACCGCGGCTAAGCTCCACAGGCTAGTTCTAAAGTAAGGTAGGCTTTCAGTTACACATAAAAAACTTGTTCCTTGCACAACATGTACAATTTTTTGGTCTTAGCTAAGCAAAAGTTAGTTCAATGATAAAACAAAAGTGTATATGGACAAATCGCATACAACATTATTCATTTCATAGCTAACAACCAATGTTTAACTGTTAAACGGCCAAGTGCTCAACACTAAGCGCGTAGAATCCAAGTGATTCGCATTGTTCGCTGGCCGCAACTAAAGTGCTTGTCACTGGTCACGGCCCGGAAGTATCTTTATTTTAGCTTTGTTTGCACTTGCGCGCACACACACAGACACACACGCAGACACACACACGCAGAGGGAGGAAGCCCAAGTGTTATTATCCTGCTTAGCTATAATACGTTGTTAAAATGTTGAGTCTGTCATTTGTGTGGCCCATACTAAAAATCACAAGAAATTGAAAAAATACTGCAAGACTTGGCCAAATAAATGCCTGGGCAGCTTAAGGTGCCAGCAGACATGGGGAGTTGGGGGTTGAACGCTCGAAAATTCCTGCAGTTCCTGTGGGAATCGTTGACAGGCGCGTGGCCATTTTGTATATCGACTTTATTAACTTTTCAGCAGAGCCAAAAAGGAAATGCCGAGCGGCGCTGCCTTTGATTTGCGGCCATTTTGTGTTGCTTCCGTATTGCATATTTCTGCCCGTTGTTGTTATTATTGTAGCTACCTGAAGTAGCACAAAATAAATAAATAAAATAAAAAGCAACAACAACAAAGCTTGTTTTGAGGTTCGCTGCGTTTAGGTTCTTAACAATTAGGTTCATTAAATTTCAATTAATTTGATTAATTGAAGCAGAAATATGCGTTTCATTTGATTTGTTTTGATGGGCGCAAGTAGCTGGCTTATGCTATTTCTAGCCCTCCTCACTTGCTCTCTCTCTCTCTCCCTCGCCCTTCGCTCACGCTTTGCTACCTTTCTTTTGTTGTACGCTTCAATTGCAATTAATTACGGCAGCCAAACCACAATTAAAATTAATTTGCCTGTCTAAAAAAAAGAACACAAGCGAAAAAAGTATAACTGGGAAAATAAAGAAAATTCAAGCAAAACGCATGCCGGAAGCAGCGCAAAGCTGCGCCCAAGTCCTTTGCATCCGCACTTCCGCATCCGCACGGACCGGGCAATAAAAATTCTCGACGTAATTAAAATCAAAGGATTTCGCGTTTAACAATTTATGTGCGCTATAATTTTTGGGGCGACGCAGACACCGCTCGTAAATTTTGATTCTCCTCTTCTACCAGAACCCGGCATTGCCCGTCACCCACTGGCAAAAACGCTTTATGGCCGTTAATTTGTTGTGCGGGGAGGGCTTGCTTGGTTTGTTACCAAAGGAAGGGGGGAAACTGTGTGCAAATGATTTGTTTCCTTGGCGCCCGCTTGAAAACAAAAGCTTTTGACCAGACCGAACAGTGTGTAGAATGGGTGGGGGGACAGTCGCCGGGGGTTCACGCTGGACAAATGCGTTGGCGAATTTCGCGTCGTTTGGCTGCACGTGACTGCATGCCACACATGCCGCCAGTGTACGCAACTGGACAACGGGACAACACCAAATAGCTGTGTGCATACGCACCGAATGCCATTCCTTTAGAGCCAGTTACCCCGTAACCCGCAGCCCGCAGCCCACAGCCCACAGCCCACAGCCCTCACCCCTAACAGACCAGCCACTTTCGATGCACTGTGTGCATCTGTCTGTGTGCGCTGCATTTCATCGCTAATTTAAGTTAATGTTCATTGTTGTAAATTACATTAATTTTAATGCGATTTCGCACACGCGCCTGCACTGGGCCACACAGAACGACGTCTACGCGGCCATGGGCCACGCCCACCGCCAAAAAGCTTTTAAGTGTGTGATTGTTTGGCCGTTGCACTTTTATGTAATTACCGCACTAACAAATTACATCAAGTGTCACAAATGAATGCATTTATGATGCGCATTTAAAGCAAAAAAAAAGAAACACCCAACTCTTACCATAAATGCAGTAGTAAATGGGAGGGGGACGCTGAGGGCTGGTGGAAATGTTCGGCTTACGGGCAAATATGTTGCGTGTGGGCCTAAAGTGCACTTGCAAATGCATTAATTAAAAAGCCTGATTCACGGGTGAAAGCTTAAATCTTTATTGGCTTCCATTTGCGTGTTGGCTCTTTTGCAGCACGACGCCGCTCTTCGCGATTCTCACAGCTTAAATGCATGCAGCTCGCTCGATAAGCAACCCATATGGAGTTTTCCAATATTTAAGTAATATCTTATTTTAATTATTAAGCCAAGCGCACTTACAAAAACATTCTACAACTAAAATCACTTCGGCAAAAAAACATGAGCATCATATAACTAACAATTTTTGATTTTTGCATGTGTTGCATGTGGCATGTTCGTTCACAGTGTGTGACATATAGAAAACATAAAATAAATACGAATGCAACAAAACCTACAGCCACTACAACTGGCTGACTTAGCTCTTGTGTGGCCTGGCAGGTAAACATGGCACGGTAACAGAAACCGGAGGCAGAGACCAGGAAAGGGGGGGACAGCAGCCGAACAGAATGTTGCTCCTATAACAATATTTGGCTTCATTTGCATAAAATGCAGCAGCAGCAAAAGCGGCGCAAAAATGTCAGCTGCAAAATGTGTATCCACTGTGCCAATGCGTCGTATACGCAATGCGGACTTGAACATAGCAGCAACAACAACAACTGGCAAGTAAACAAGACTGTAAAGTTGCACACAGAACGCTGCTATGGTTTGTTACCAGCGGATGGGCCTGTCCCAGGGCTGCCATAAACTGAACGACTGATTGAACAGCAAACATGACGCCCAGTTGCTGTGCCTCATCGCCATCAACAGTCGCCAATCGCCCATCGCCAATCGCCATTGCCATGTAAAACACATGTTGCCTCTTATTTCTTTTGGCATACCTAACGACCGCCCTTGTCTCCTCTTCTCCTCTTCATTTCTGTTAACACAATGTCCAGGGCGTAGCCAATTTTAAGCAAATATTATTGTTTGCATTTATGTTTGTGTCTGATATCGCACAACCGATAATATACATATATGGAGCGCCGCATACGTACGGCATACCCCAACAGAATTGAACAATTTCCATAACACTATGCAGCTGGGAAATTATACCTTTACCGCTAATCAATAATCGATGCCTTTATAAAATACATAAAATTTATATTTGTATTTGTTTTTAAGTTTGTCTACTATTGATCATCGATACCTTTATAAAAATATAACAAAATATAGCTTAAATTAAATAATAATCAATCACTTTTAAATATACACTAAAAAAGACTTACTTTTTATTTATGTGTAGATTACAAAATGTATTAATAAAGTGCTTTACTTATTTTGTAGATTTGTAGATTATTATATCTTCCATTTTGTCAATGTTTTGACATTATAACAACTTACCGATTGCATACATTTTATACGTAGATATATATCTGTTTCGAGTATTAAAAAATTATAATAAATATAATATAATAAAGCTGTTAAGTCCTTTATTATATCAGGCTCAGCCCCAGCATAAATTTTAAACATCTTTTGCATCAATACAAAAGACACTTTGTTGACAAATAAATATTTGTTAATGGTAGCAGAGTGTAATTTGTAACTTTTGAAAATTATGCGACCAGGTGAAGGTTGGACTTGTGGCTCTGCTGCTGTTTCTACTGAAGCTTTAGCTACAGTTCTTGTTATTGTTGTTGTTGCTGATGTTGTGCGAGCTGAAGCGTGGCACACACACAGAGCATGTAAACATAACCTCAAATTAAAATATGTTTGCTTACGTAGAGCAAACTGAACGGCTAACTAACGGATGCAAGGACGCTGGACTCATTACAGGACTCCGTTCGAGGCATAAATTAAAACTTGTACTAAATTGTAACGGTGCAAGTTTTGTAGTCAAGTTAATTATGCATAAACCAGCGTAAAGCGAGAGCGAGTGCGAGAGCCGTGTCGGCATTTATTTACCTTCTGGTCTAAAGCACACGCAAAGATTGCAAAGCATTGCTCCCACCCCCCTACACAGAAACGAGGGAGGGGGATGGTCATGGGGCTTGTTGCAAGCTATTATGACAGCTGCTTTGACTGACAGGCTGCGGTTGGCGACTGTCGGCAGCGGAAATTAAGCGCCTCGATTTGCGTGCCCGCCACGCATAAATCAGAGTGCGCCCCACCTTACACTAAGCCCCACTGAGCCAATGGGCTAGCTCCAACAAATTGATTAGGCCCTCGAGTCGTAGACCTGGCAGATTACCAGGGCCTTCAACAAGGCGTAAAATACTCGACTCGATTATTAAGCTAAATGCATGAAATACGCGTCGCCCAGGAAATGCACCAAAGTCTAGTGTCAGTCAGTCAGTCAGTCAGTCAGTGAGCCAGTCTCTCAGTCAGTTTCTCAGTCAGTCAGTCATTTATTTAGTCGTGTCAAATTGCTTAACAAGCAATTATGGAGCCCGTCAACAGCCGCTCGGAAGGAGTTCAAAGGCAAGCCGAAACGTGGCTGGCCACGGGCTGGTCATGGAAAAAGGGCTCAGACCATTCGGCCTGCTGTTTGAGCCGGCTTAGTTAAGCAGCCACCGACTAAAGCGACAAATCTGAGTAGCTGCACCAGCAGCAGCAGCAGCAGCACTTGATCATAATGATGATGCTTATGGCACTCAGCTGGAAATGAGTTGCAAACAAATGACTTAAGTGAGCAACTTACAAGCTGCATTAGCCAGACCCATGACAGCGCCCAGTCACTATCAATTTACTTAACAAGCCATCAACTGAGCTCGTTTAATGTGAGCAAGATTCAAGTCGTTATAATACATGGAATGCTATAATAGACACTGTGCTTTTCGAATATTTTATTTACAATCTATAATGTACACTCATTAAAATCTTTGAAGATATAAAGCTCAAGACGCAGTTGCCAAAGTCTATTAAGTCGAGTCCTTGTTGATAATTGTAAAAAATGTTTCAATAAAGTTTCCTTAATTTTCTATTCTAAAACTTATCAATACAAGGACTTCCGATCATAGAGGTGCGCCCACTCACTATATTTATTTATTATTCTTGGGAATGTTATTCAAGCTCTTAAATATGTAATTCTGGTTCTTCCATTTTTGTATTTATGTATTCATGACTCGTTCAATGCATTTTTTAATTACAGATTTTATCAACTATATTCAAAACTAACTTATCATCAGCTGGATATTTATAAGAAAGTGATTGCGACTGTACAAAGTCTGCTTTAAAAAGCATCCTTTTTTAACACACAGTCGAACCTTTTGCTTTGAAGGTTGCTTAAATATAATTTGAATATTCTTAAATAATGAACTAAATATTACAATTTTTTTACACCAGAAAACTATGGTTTTGATCAACATAGGCGTGCAGTGTTGCCGAGGAAGATCGATTGTAGTTCTAGAAAGGTTCATAGCCCAATGTCATATATTACCTTTTTGCTGCTCTTCAAATACGAAAATAATATTGGTCCTAAACTAGACGTATGTCAATAATTTTGAATACTCTTTGCTAAGTTTAGCTCCACCTTTTCTTGCCCTCACCTGAGTCTTAAATTAGTTATTTGAAAGCCGAAATCTGTACCAAGCTCACTATGTTTCGATTAGTAGACCCAGTGAGACACCCTGTAGTTAGCAGGCCCCACAACTCAACTAACCACTCTCGACTTCCCGCTCTGATTTATGTGACACACATTAGAGTGTGTTCGCTGTGGCCGCACGAGGGCAAATTGAAAGGCCCAACGAACCCTAAAAATTATTGCTGCATTTTATTATGTTTTAAAATTAACAATTTTCAGAGATGAGCCGAGAGCCGTTCCACTGGACCTGATTTGGCCCTGTTGCATTCCAATTTAATGCATTTTTGCGCCTCTGGCCAAACAAATTACTCAAAAATGGCGCATAAATTAATGGATGAGGTAAAGCAGTTACTGGAGAGAATACTAAACTAGACGACTGACTAGTAAAAATTAAAACATTAATCTGAAGCTCTGCCGACGACAGTTGGGCAACAATTAATGCTGGGCCTTAAATTTATTAATTTATTTATAAAACCAAAAAAGGGCAGCAGAAAAAAATGAGGCACAAAAAGAGGTGCGAATGCGAACTTAAAGAGCTACAGAACAGAAACCCGACTTGGCTGTAACGCACAAAAAAAAAAAAAGTATACAAGAAGTTAACGAGAAACAGAACTCCAAATGGTTCTCAGTCTTCATGTAGTCTCGGTGCTGGCTCTCTTAGCTGGATTTGAGAGGGATGAGGCAGCGTATATTTGTTGCTTTTTGTGTGCAGTTTTTAAAAATGTCCGTACGCCCTCTAGGGACAGATTAGCGATTAATCTATGGGGCATGGTCACATGCACGTCCTACACTTGCCTGCAAGCAGCCAGCCAGCCAGTCAGCCAGCCAGCAGCTAGAAGCGTCCTGTGGAACGTGGTGGTACGAGGTAACGATTAAAAAATCTCCACAGTAAAGACTGAGCACTTAATCAAAGAGGATTTAGAGAGGAATAGAGCCAAAGCCCAGTGCCCAGAGCCCAAGCTCAAGCCAAGGCAGCCAAAGCGTTGATGCGGCGCTTTGTTTTTAGCTGATTTTTTTTCACATAAAATAATGCTGCAAATACCCTATAAAAGTCAGTGGGTATACCTCAACTTGAAGCCGTAAGAGTTGGCTTTTCCCCATTTTCCCCACTTTTGATTATAGGTGAGTATCTCAATGGAAGATTTTTCTTGCAGTACAACTCGATTCTTAGTCCTGTAAATTGTTACACCTTCGAGACAGTCTCACACACGATCCACGGCACAGGTAGCTCAGGACTTGTGACCATTTGGATGGACAGGCAGATGTTTGATAAGAACTCAGGTAGTTGGCAAATATATATCGAGAACATTTTAAGGGTAGTTTTGCACACTGTTTATAAAAAGGAACTAGCTATTGATTTTCTTCAGTAGAGGTCAAGCATCAGGCAAGTGTTATTCAACGTTTCGGTATTGGGAACACAGTAAGTGAAAATAAACGAATCTCTAAGAAATTCAAAACTGTTAAATTTAGTTGAATGTTTTGAAACTATTTTACCAATATAAAAACTAAAACAAATTGAAATTAGTTAGGAAGCATTTGAATCAATTTTTAAATTAAATTATTTGACATCGAATTATAAATAAATGGTAAAGAAAATCGAACTAATTAAGTTTTAATTTTTGTTCTCTTCAAGAACATTTGATAACAGCTTAAGGTTGGACTTATTCTTATCAATATGTTGATTCGCTCTCGACAAAAAAACTTAAATTTATTAGTTTATAAGGTCGTAATTCCCTTTCTAAATCTGCACTTTTAAATCAAATTCTATTTATATTTTGAATTTTGCAATTAGTATTCACATATAGAGCATCACCTAGTCACTTTGATTCATATACAAATTATCTCTACTTGGAGTTTTTCCTACATATTACAAGCAGTTTTATTTCGCTGAGCGTTGTTCATAGTTTCTGGTGCGCTTTTTCATTTGCGCTGCCTGCTCACAACCTCTCTCCTCTGACACCCTCTCTACGACACACCGCTCTGATGGCTGCGGGGCTGAGCTTCCAACTTGCAGCTCGCAGTTGGCAACTCATAAAAGACCTTAAATAGTGGCAAAGACATTTCAGACATTGCCGCGCGTTGCTGCATTTGTCAATTTGCTATGAGTTGAAAGGGGCGTGGTCGGGCATAAAAATGATATATGTGCGCGCTGAGTTAGCAATTTTCGTATGAATTGGTAAAACGACGCCGACATTCGCTTTATGAATTTCTTTATGGGCAAAAATATAAAATATTTTGATTGTATTTCATGTGAACTGAAATTAAACGCTTGTTGCACTTTATTCCATCTGTCTGGCTGTTTGTTGCGAACGCTTGATTCGGCTACGAGTGGATTTAGAAGCGTACTCTCCCTGCTGCCCCTTTGGCAGTGTTAACGGGTCTGTGTTGCAATTATGGCCCAGTAACCGCAACCGGAGTGCAAAGTGTTGGCCTTGGCTCAAACACTGCTCGCATTTCGTCATAAGCTCTGTACAATTTTTGCGGTATTTGGCCCGTAATCCTTTTGTGCGATAATTGGAGCGTTGCTAGGACCATAAATACCCCAGAAAATGAAAACGAGCGGCAAAAATATTTGCCAAAATATTTGGCATAAGCATTCACCGCCGCTTCTGACATTTAAAAGCCGCTTAAATCTCTCACTTGGCCAAAAACGACCTACAATGTAAATGTTCTTTATGCCTTTTAATTGCTTTAGCTTTGTGGTCACACTTGGCATGACGTCGACGCAGCTGGCGTGGCAAACAGTACGAGGGTGGGGAGTATGCAGTAGTTACACATATCATTTCGATTGCCTCTTCAACTTGCGATTTTTAGCCACAGCTCAAATCTCTGTTAATTACAAGTTGTTTCAGCTAACATTTTCAAATTGAGAAGAGGACACTGCGAAAGCACTAGAGTGGCAAGAGTTGATAGTTTTATTGAAGTTTCAAGAATTAAGCCAATATATTCGTATATATCTATCAATTTTATCCTGCTACGAAAACTCTGCTATGTACATATATACATATACTGTTTCTCAAATAATACGATTGTTTGGACTGCTGTGAGTGTCATATTCTTACCTAATATTCTTATCCCTTCCCTTAATATAAGGCATACATATTAAGATCTGCTTACACTATATTCTTCATATTCTACACCTAAAATGTACTGAGTAAACTATTGGGATTTTCTGATACCTGAAGAATGTATTTTGTCTTTCAAAAGCTCGTTGAATTATAGATATTTATATCCTATGTCTATATTTTTGGGTATTTCTGACACATTAAAATACATTAATTCGCCGCTATTGAATGGAGAGTTCGACCTTGTAAACGCAAGTTTTTTATTCGGATTCAAGATTCTTACCATAGACTAACAGGGACAAAACGTTTCACAGGCACATAAATGTATCCAACTAATTAGGAAAATCAAGTTCACGTTTGAAAAACCTGTCAATAAATTAAGTCAATTTAGTTAATACAGTCAGTACACACACAGGGATAAATTTCTAACATTCTAATTCATGCTGTTTTCCAATGTTTTTTATGATTTTGTCGTTTTTGTGTTTCTTAAGATAACAAACGAAGGTACACAAACTAATTATAATGGGCGATCAACCGAAGAAGAAGAAGGAACCGGTCCCGGTGGAGAAAACGGCCGATCCAATTATCTCCCAGATTGGTGACTTTAGGCGTTATCAGTTCTGGTTTTGCATGCTGATATTTTTAAGTAAATTTGGCACGGGCTGGCACACACTAGCACACATATTTTTGGCAGCTCCCACGCCCCTCAGTTGCGCAACAGCAAACGTGACAGATGCGTGCAGCGACGACTGCGATGAGATCGAATTTGACACCAGCGTATTCGAGACCACCATCGTCACAGAATGGAATCTGACCTGTAAAAAATCTAGTTTGTCCAGCATGTCACAATCCATTGTTATGGCTGGCATTATGTTTGGTAGTATTGTCTTTGGCATGATCGCAGATCGGTAAGCTATACACAAAATACCTTTATATATTTATATTACTATTTACTTATATATATATATATATATATATATTTACAGTTGTGGTCGTCGTCCTGCGTTTTTGGGCTGCTGCTTCATGCAGCTAGGCGCTGGTTTGATCGTCTGTCTGTCCCCGTATTTTTGGTTCTACTGTCTCTTCAGATTTCTGACGGCTTTTGCCACAGGCGGCACCATGACAACCAGGTAAAGTCCAAGCCCCACTCACTAAATTTAATGGTAAAGTGCTAAATAGAAAGCCTTTAACGCCTTTATACTCTATCAGGAAGATGATTAATTAATCCAAAAGCAATCTGATCTTAATATTTTGTCAAGCTGTGTAGTAAGGCCTTAGCTTTCTTACCATCCAATAAAATATATATAATATATATTTTCAAGCTTTTTGCTTACAACTTAAGACATTCACTACAATCTATTTACCGGTTGTACAACATTTGTATGCACCCGCACTATCTGAAGTTCCAAATCAGTTTTAGATTAATATAAAATGAGTTTGAGATGCACAAAAAATATGGAATCAATGTTTTCCACCCACTTTAGTCTCTTATTATGAAGCTTGAACCTTTGTAACAAACAATTCCATTGACCCATGACCCATTTTGTGGTCGTGAGAAATGTGTGAAACACTTTGAAAATGTAAGAAAATCATTGAATATTGGTTTCAAGCTAATTATGCTTTTAATTTTTCCTCTAATTTTCCACTTTCGCGGGTGAAATTCGCAATAAATTTGAACAGAAAAACTGCAGATGTGCGTTCATCACCCATCAGTCTGTCAGTCGAATATATGTTGATATCTAGTCTATATCAAAACTGATTGGAAATTTCTTCAATGTGCTTCACGATGCCTCGCAAAATGAGTGTTGTGTTTATGTAGGTTTGGTTAGAAAGTAAGGAAATCTACCTTTATTTAAACTTTTGATATGCCGCAAATTTGGTTTAAATTTGCATTTAATTATCGTTTTGCTTGCCTCTCTCTCTTTCTCTTTTTCTCTTTCTCCCTCTCTCTCTCTCTCTCTCTTTCTCTCTATCTTTCTCGCTCTCTTTCTCAACAGCTTTGTGCTCATCATGGAAATAATAGGACCGAAGAAACGCGAACTAGTTGCAATTCTGTATCAGATACCGTTCAACGTTGGCCACGCCTCCCTGGCGATATTTGCCTACTTTATACGCACCTGGCGCTGGTTTCAGTTCGCCGTGACAATATTTTCGGTCGTGTTCGTGATCTACATATTCCTGGTGCCCGAGTCCCCACGCTGGTTGTTTACGACAGGACGTGTGGATGATTCCATAAAGATATTGGAAAAGATAGCTAAAAGAAACAATGCGCCTACCGAAACTATCCGTGCAGAGATAGAGGCCGGCTATAAAGTGTTAGCTGCCAAGACGCCTACAAAAAAGGGTAACGTGATCGATCTTTTTCGAACGCCCTTTTTGCGTACGAAGACCTTTTGCATGCTCGTTATCTGGTTGGTGATTTGCATGGTCTACTATGGCACCGCCCAGTATATATCCAAGCTGGGCGGCAATATATTCCTTAACAATCTCATCGCCGCTGGGCTAGGCATACCCGGAACCCTGCTCTGTGTGGTCTTGACCAAGTATTTGGGTCGCAAGATAACAATGATGCTGTCCAATGCGCTTAGTGCCATTGGCCTGTTAGCTTTGGTGTTTCTGACTAGTTTTGATATGCGGATTCAGGTGGCCTGCGCCACACTAGGACTATTTGGTGCGTCGATATCATTTCCCAATGTGTATCTATGGGGCGGAGAGATATTCCCGACTGTGGTGCGCTCGAATGGTTTGGGCCTGTGCTCAATGATTGGCCGTATTGGTAGTCTGCTAGCACCGCTCATTTGTGAACTGTCACAGTTTAAGTTATGGCTAACACCACTCATATTTGGTCTCTTCGCGGTATCGGCCGTGATTTCCAGCATATTTTTGCCAGAGACACGCGGCACTCCGTTACCGGAGACGTTGGAGGATGGTGAAAGCTTTGGACGCAAGGCAAAGGAGTAACTGGAAATTTGCGAAGTGCAGAAAACACATTATAGCAGTCTTATACGCAGACCCAAGTAAGTAAGCAGTTCCAACCAAAGTCTATCATAGACCCAGCTCCTTTTGGCCAAAAATACCAGCAGCAAAATATGTAACAAACAGTAGCAGGGATGGAGGCGGTGTGGGGTACAAGCAGTAGGTACATAGATTATTTCAATTGCCTCTTCAACTTGCCTCTTCTTTGTTAATTACAAGTTGTTCAAGCTAAAATTGTGACGAGGACATACTGCAGAAGCACTAGAAGTGGGACTAGTTGAGAGCTTTATAAAAGTTTGAAGAATTAATCCCATATATTCGTATATAGTTATAAATTTTATCCTGCGACGAATACCCTGCTAGGCAGTTATGAGTATACTATTGGCTATTTCTGATACTTGAAGAATGTATTTTGTCTTTCAAAAGCTCGTTCAATTGTAGATATTTATATCATATGTCTATATTATTGGGTATTTCTGACACATTGAAATACATTCATTATTTTACAAAAGTTCGCTTAACTTTTTTAAGATTGTTTGAGGAGTTATATACTTACAACCATTTAAATAATATTCCTAAGTAAACTAATAGATTTCACAAACAACTCTGCAAATAGAATCTTTTTTTAAAGACTTTAAAGCACTAACGAAGAGGGCTTAGCTCGTTATTATGTTTCTTTTCCATTATGTTCCATTCAACATTGTCAGATTTCATTAGTAGTTCGCGCTGTCAACAGAAGCTGTTAAAATATTCAAAATAGTCTAGTAAAAAGAATCGTACAGATAAGTTGCTTGCGTATTGACTAAGTGTGGAGAACGAGTTAATAATAAACTAATAAAGCATTTATTTGCGCCTTATCAGGCCAGAGAGCTCTTATCTCAACCCAGACTCACCCGCTGTGAAAATGCAGATCTCATTCAGCTCAACTTGTTGTCGTACGGGTTATACGCAGTCTGGCAGCAGCTGCTGAAAGCTATTGATGAAACGGATATATAGGGAATTTGTATATTAAAAGTAAAATAATAAAACTAAATGTGCTTTAAATAATATCAGAAAAATGCGGGCGTGAGTGGCATATATAATTCACGATTTTGACAAACCTAGCATTTGCAAGCCAAATGCAAAGTGCAAAGTGCAAAGTGCAAATAAACAACAAATAGGCTTAAATTTTTTCTTATCACACACAAATTGTTTGTATGGATAATAGCTGGTGATCCACGCATAAAGGCTTATTGGTAACATGTGCATTTAACTTTACAATACCTATAAAAAAAAGTGCATTATCATAATAGCCACTAAAATCGTATATGCTTATATATATATATATATATATATATATATATATATGGCTGCAACTCGATTGCGAAACAGGGTTTCAGTATTCAGTTCGTTTGATAAAAGGTTCACCAAGGAGGGAGGGATTTTCTTAAAAGTGCGAAACATCCCCAAAATATCTTTGAACGAAGAATTTTGAAAATGAGTTTGGGACCGATCGGATGGTAAACAAAAAAGCTTCATACGTACGTTTCAGAGAGGTTTCAGAAGCTTCCATACTTGCGGAGGATTTCTTGAAACCCCGTCTTAACGTGCACCTTCATCAGTTTTATATATAGAGATAATACTTAGTTATAACAATAATTATAATAGTAAAAGCAACGTAGCAAATATATTACTTAAACTACTGCTAACAGCTATATAAAGGACGCACTTTATAAACGGAGTGTGTTTTGCAAGTCTGATTTGGGTATCTTAGCGTCGGATCAAAAACAGAGGTTGCTTATTCGACTCCAATAGCAATTGTCAGCATGTTTGTTTTTGTTAATCTTGACCTGACCGGGCATTTATTAGTATTCCCTACTTGATTTAACCGCATGTCTGTCAATTATACATACACAGTTTAATAGAAGTTATACTTAAAAAAAAATCAAGTGAGATGATTGTGAAATTGTTAAAGCTCATATACCATATAGGCATGTTGACAGCTCTTAAGTAACCGTATCGAAATCGAATTGTATATCTGAAGTTATATTTTTATGCCCAGTTTGGGCATCTTAGTGGGTGCCAATGTGACACATTTATGCGACAATTGGCGGATTTATCATGTGGCTAGCATTGTGTTGGCCCTGAGTGTATGTTGGCGTATGTGTAAGTAATATTGATTGGCTATCCAATTTGCATATAATTTATTTTCAATTGTTGTGACATTTTGTGCCACTGTTGTTGCTCTGGACAGGTTACCACAGTCGTGGGAATATGCTGACTGGTTGCAAGTAGCGAGTGTTGATTGTTGCTTGTCGCTAACGACAAATCTTGGGGCCTGGCTCACTAGTACCAGTACTTGGGCCAAACTTTCACTCGATTGTGGCCTGGCTTAGTCGATAATTAAGCCATCTTGTGGCAGTGGCAGCGTTGTTTATCTGGCTGTAGACAATGGCTGCATCTGGCTGCTATCTGTGGCAAATAGCTCTGGCCGCGGCGCACCTTCAATTAATGAGGTGGCCAACTTTATTTAACTACAACTACAGAGTTCCGAATCATGTTGCTGGGAGTCTGTGACTAGAGGTAAAAGTGGGGTTTGTTGCCTTTTGGCCTTATTTCTGCTGCAATACTAAATGCCAATTTAGCCTGGATGCGAGTCTCTGCCGCTGTCGCTGCTGCTGCTCAGGTGCTAATGCCTGGCCAAGTTTGTCACGCTAACCGGCTGCTAACCAGCTGAGGTCGATGAGGCCCCAAAACCGGTTCGATGTTGGCATATGAAATCGATCTGACGATCTTTTGGGACCAGCCGCATTTTCGCGCCAGTCAGTAAGTTGCCGGTCGCGAGTTGTGCGAGCGCCAGTCCGTTATATATATATATTCATGTATATAGTATATATAATTGAGAAAGTCAAGTTTACACAGGAAAAAACTGGCATTGAACTCCTTTTATTACTATAAGGATAATCAATTATCTAACATTCATTCTTACAATGTTCTTTTCTATTTCTTACATATTTTTCACTTTAGATAGCAAACACAGGTACAATAACTGACTATAATGGGCGATCAACCGAAGAAGAAGGATCCTGTCCCGGTGGAGAAGACAGCCGATCCAATTATCTCCCAGATTGGTGACTTTAAGCGTTATCAGTTCTGGTTTTGCATGCTGATATTTTTAAGTAAATTTGGCACGGGCTGGCACACACTAGCACACATATTTTTGGCGGCTCCCACGCCCCTCAGTTGCGCAACAGCAAACGTGACAGATGCGTGCAGCGACGACTGCGATGAGATCGAATTCGACACCAGCGTATTCGAGACCACCATCGTCACAGAATGGAATCTGACCTGTAAAAAATCGAGTTTGTCCAGCATGTCACAATCCATTGTTATGGCTGGCGTTATGTTTGGCAGTATTGTCTTTGGCATGATCGCAGATCGGTAAGCTATATACAATATAACTTTATATATTCATTTCATTATTTACTTATATATATTTGCAGTTTTGGTCGTCGTCCTGCGTTTTTGGGCTGCTGCTTCATGCAGCTAGGCGCTGGTTTGATCGTCTGTCTGTCCCCGTATTTTTGGTTCTACTGTCTCTTCAGATTTCTGACGGCTTTTGCCACAGGCGGCACCATGACAACAAGGTAAATTTCAAACCACACTCACTAACTTTAATGGTAAAGAGCTAAATAGAAAGCCTTTAACAGTTTACCGATGATTTAATATACTCTATCAGGAAGATGATTAATCGATCCAAAAGCAATCTGACCTTAACATTTGGCAAGCTGTGTAGTAAGGCCTTAGCTTTCTTACCATCCAATAAAATATATATAATATATATTTTCAAGCGTTTTGCTTACAACTTAAGACATTCACTACAATCTATTTACCGGTTGTACAACATTTGTATGCACCCGCACTATCTGAAGTTCCAAATCTCAGTTTTAGATTGATATAAAATGAGTTTGAGATGCACAAAAAATATGGAATCAATGTTTTCCACCCACTTTAGTCTCTTATTATGAAGCTTGAACCTTTGAACACTTCGAAAATGTAAGAAAATCATTGAATATTGGTTTCAAGCTAATTATGCTTTTAATTTTTCCTCTAATTTTCCACTTTTGCGGGTGGAATTCGCAATAAATTCGAACAGAAAAACTGCAGATGTGCGATGATCACCCATCAGTCTGTCAGTCGAATATATGTTGATATCTAGTCTATATCAAAACTGATTGGAAATTTCTTCAATGACCTTCACGATGCCTCGCAAAATGAGTGTTGTGTTTATGAAGGTATGGTAAGAAAGCAAATAAATCTACATTTATTTAAACTTTTGGTATGCTGCAATTTTGGATTAGATTTGAATTTAATTATTGTTCTCTCTCTCTCTCTCTCTCTCTCCCTCTCCCTCCCTCTCAACAGCTTTGTGCTCATCATGGAAATAATAGGACCGAAGAAACGCGAACTAGTTGCAATTCTGTATCAGATACCGTTCAACGTTGGCCACGCTTCCCTGGCGATATTTGCCTACTTTATACGCACCTGGCGCTGGTTTCAGTTCGCCGTGACAATATTTTCGGTCGTGTTCGTGCTCTACATATTCCTGGTGCCCGAATCGCCACGCTGGCTGTATACGACAGGACGTGTGGATGATTCCATAAAGATATTGGAAAAGATTGCAAAAAAAAACAATGCGCCCACCGAAACTATCCGTGGGGAAATAGAGTCCGGCTATAAAGTGTTAGCTGCCAAGACGCCTTCAAAAAAGGGTAACGTGATCGATCTTTTTCGAACGCCCTTTTTGCGTACGAAGACCTTTTGCATGCTCGTTATCTGGTTGGTGATTTGCATGGTCTACTATGGCACCGCCCAGTATATATCCAAGCTGGGCGGCAATATATTCCTTAACAATCTCATCGCCGCTGGGCTAGGCATACCCGGAACCCTGCTCTGTGTGGTCTTGACCAAGTATTTGGGTCGCAAGATAACAATGATGCTGTCCAATGCGCTTAGTGCCATTGGCCTGTTAGCTTTGGTGTTTCTGACTAGTTTCGATATGCGGATTCAGGTGGCCTGCGCCACACTGGGACTATTTGGTGCGTCGATATCATTTCCCAATGTGTATCTTTGGGGCGGTGAGATATTTCCGACGGTGGTGCGTTCGAATGGAATGGGCCTGTGCTCTATGATTGGCCGTATTGGTGGCCTGCTTGCACCGCTCATCTGTGATCTGGCCCTCTTGAAGGCATGGATAACACCACTCATATTTGGCCTCTTCTCGGTATCGGCCGTGATTTGCAGCATCTTTTTACCAGAGACACGCGGTGCTCTCTTGCCGGAGACATTGGAGGATGGTGAAAACTTTGGACGCAAGGCAAAGGAGTAACTGGAAATTTTGTGTGGTGCAAAAACCCCAAAGTATATCAGACATATGCACAAGCCAAGCTCACAGCTTCAGCAAAGTCTGTATAATATACCCATTTGGCTTAAAATGCCAGCAACAAAAAAGGGTTAACAAATGCAAAATGTAATCGCTGCAAAATTAATACAGTTGTTATTGTTAAAACCGGGTTGATCCCTTGCAATCTTTTATTTTTCCCGATTTTATTGCTATGCCTAGGCGCAATAACAGTTACAATAACAGTTTTGGAAAGTTAAGTTCGGTTATCAAGTTGGGAAGAGAAATTTTTTAAATAATTCGCGTAGACAATTTATAGACACCACCCTTTATAAATAAGTTTGATTTAGTTAAGCAACAACGATACTTTATAGCAACAAACATATTCAATAGCTAGAGATACTTACTTCCTATTTGGACCATAAATAAAGAGTATAATGAAACTAAATAGTAATTGCCGAGTTTGTTCAAATATATAAGAATAGTTAGGTCCAATCAGGCCGTTTACGACATACTTGTAGGTACATATGTACTTCCTGCGGCGGAAAAATTGACCTCTTCAAAGATTTAAGACGATAGCTTAAAAACTGAGACTAGTTCGCATAGAAATAGACTGAAATGGAAAATATATATACTTTATGGGGTTAGAAATCTCTTCTTTGCATTTCATGGCAAAATTGCAGAGGATTGCACTGAGATGATTCGTTTAAGCACTATGTATATCGATTACTGTCGCAAGCTGATTAACACGCATGAATGACAAACGCATCATCTTTTAGTCATCTAATGCCCATAGCAATTATCTTCAAGCACATCGCAATGAATCAATGGCTCGCCGCCTGACTACATGACCTTCAAGTAAAAAACCAGCTGAAAAGCCCACTCAAGGTTAATATCATTGTCAACTTTTGGCACGCCTCATTTATATGCAACACTTGGTACTCCATGTCGCTGGCTGTCTGACCGTCTGCCCGCTGACCGCGCACACCCTGTGCCAACCGCAGAACTGGACGTCCGCAGTCAGGAGTCGGTCAGTCGCCGTCGGCACTTGACTACATGGTGCGGCTTTCAGGCTGCGCTGCTCAAATCGCCACTCAAGCGCAGGCCAAGCATCAGCTTTGAGATTCCGTCGCCAGTCGCCCTGTCTGGGCAGTCAATCAGTTGGGGGCAGCCGCCGGCCGCGGCGGCCGCAACTGGGCCCGCCGACCGACTGGGTTCCAAGTTTTTAGCGTCATCGGCACTGGCAGCTTGTCATGTCAGCCGTACGAAAACTGTCAGAATTCGAGTTAAAGTTGGCGTTCAACTTGCTGCCTCGATGCACATCACCAGATCCAGACCCAGACTCAGACCCAGGTTCCAATCCCAGTTTCAGTTCAAGTTTAAGTCTAACTCCGAGTCTCAGACCCGAACCCACTCCAAGTCCCAGCGTCGGCGTCGCATTTTTAATCAGCAACGGCGTGTCTTAGTGATAATTACCAGACATATTTGTTGCCTGCTCCTGTTCTTGCCTGCGTGCCTTTTTCTACATCTTCTACTGTTCCTGCTGTATAATTAATTACAAGTGCGGCGCTGATGTTGTGCCTGGTCAATTATTCATTGGCTCTGCTGCTGTTGCTGTTATTTCATTTCTGGCTCTGATTCTCCCATTCACATAAATTGCTCCAAATTCACCGACAATAACGATATTTTTGCAAATTTGGCAGTAACTGGCAGCAAAGAGAAAAGTCGTGATTAAAAACTATTCCATAAAAATTCAAAAATTGTGGAACACTAAAAAAGAAACGCGACTTCTTTAGGCACGTGTCTCTGTATTCTCATTTTTCACTTCGTTGTTTTCTATTTAATTAAATATACAAATTTTAAAACTTCGCTGCAGAATTTTAACCTGCGAGTTCCCGCCTGGTAGTCCAACGCTCTAGAACCTAAACCATGCATTTCGACTTTTTTTTATACCCTGAAACCATTTAAAATGGTTCAAATATGTATAATGTCTTTGTGCAAATCAAAATGAATGTATGTAACATGCAGAAGGAAGCATCTCCGATCCCATAGAGTATATACTCTTGTCTCTGTTCTTGAAGAACTTAGAAATAGAGTTTGAGGTGGATCGGATGGTTAACAAAAAAGTTTCATATAAACGTTTATCGCGATTTTTCCATACTTGTGGGTGGAATTCCCGGAACCTCGTCTAAACGTGCACCTTTATCACATAAGGTAAATACAGTGAAAATATCAGCTTCCTATCTCTTACGGTTTGGGCTGTGCGTTGAACACCAATCAGTCAGTCGGTTAGTCAGGGCAAACAGTTTGAGATATTGAGATATATATTATCTTTAATTGTATACCTATGACCCCCTCCTCGCTACCACCGCAGAGCTATATATCAAGTTAATAAATAGCACAACTTATATTACCCACCAATTTAAGCCTCAATTTAAATGCAATTGAGAATGCACAAATATTCTATGGTACAATAAGATATACTGTAGAAAATTTTATAGAGATCGGTTAAGAAGAGTTTGCTTCGAATTCTATCAACAGCATTGCAATTGCAATAGTTTTCTGTGCTGCTATTTTAATTTTTTCTTTTTTTTTTTCTCAATAATACTTAATTATTGGTGTGGCTGTTGATTAAGGCCAAAGCAAGTGGTGCGCTCTGTCGCGAGTTCGAGCCCTACCTGGAAACTACTTTTTTTGGCTGGTGTGGCTGTTGAATAGAGTTATCAGCAAGGGAACTTTACTCATTTTTATTTACCTTTATTGCTTTGATTTTGATAATTAAAACAAAGTTGTAATGTAAAAATAAATGTACTTAAATGGCTTTTCGCAATTTTAAGGTCGCGTGAAGACTGGTAAATATTTGTGCCATGAAATGTAAATCAAAATTTGAAAACTTAATTTTAACATTTCTACTCTCGGGAAGTATGAAATTCGTCAGCCTAGTTAGGAAAGATATTTAATTAGCTTAGAAAAACTTATTAAAATTCCTAATTTAATAAATATTGTTTCTGGACTATGGCATTGTTTTTGGAACTAGGAAAACCCAAGCGTAAAATAGAGGTCTCTCTCTTATTTGGAAGTGTATGCATTGTTGTTGTGTGTCAGCTAAAATGGTAGGCAGCAAGTCCTGGCAAGGCAATGTTAAAATATCTGACACTTGGTTAAAGCTGAAAAGGCCAGCACAAAAGCAGTTTGCCATTTTGCCAACATATGGCAAATTTGCCTGCTGACTGCATGTCAACAACAACAGCAACAACAACAGCAGCAAAACCCATTTAAGTTCAAAGCGCGACAACCGCCGGAGTCAGGAATTGCAGTTGCAGTTGGAGCTGGAGCTGGAGCTGTAGCTGTAGCTGGAGTTTGGCCTGCCAGCTGAGCCGATCATTATCTGAGTCGCATATCTATTTGCGATTACGAAGAGCAGGCAAAGGCAGACAGGCAGGCAGCCAGCCATGGCGGGGCAGGTCGGGTATGTCAGTCGTGGGAGTCTGTCGGCGGAATTGGCAACGTGGTGGCACAACGTCAACGTGGGCGCTGCAAACAGACAAATGTCAAAATGAGGCGCTTTGTTGTTTATCATATTTACCGCAAGGCAGGCAGCCAGCAACCAAAACAACAACAACAACAACGTGCCCCAAATGCAATTAGTATTCAAATGTAGACGCGCCAAAGACGAACACAAAGCCAAAACGAGTCATCATCAACTTGGCACAAAGGTCTTCTCTCTTTTGCCGCCAGGGGAGTTGGCGAGGAGGGGCAGCGCGGGGTGCGCTGCTTACACGCTAAAAAATGCGTCTAGTTTGTTTTTTCTTTTTTTTTATGTATATTTTTTGTGCTGCTTCAGAATTCGTCGTAATTTAGCGCACGCATTTTGCATTTTAAATGCTGGCCACATTCTGATTAATTCCAACAAATTCGTTTGACTAATTGCGACTAGAACGGCACTGGGACTGAGCCAGGTGCAGCACGGGGAGGGGGGATGGATTCTGTGTAACTGCACACCTTTAGCGGGCCGCAATTAAATGAACTGAGAACCAGGGCTCGGGCCAGTCGCAACGATTTAATGCATGATTTTGTCTCCTTTTCAAATCATCTCTACGTGACTTCTGCTTATCAGCATGAGCCACGGACTCGCCCGGTTCGATAGAGTGTGCCCGCGGCATTTGCCTCAGATGATTCAATATGGCCACTCGCTGCATATTAAGCAGCTCATGCATAGCGACTCGAATATGGACTCTCTGTCCAGTCTGGCTGTTGCATAACCATAAAGAAAGTCAACGCATTGCGTTGAGGGCGCCATTAAATGCGTTGCCCCCCCGTTCACCTCTCAATCCATCTCTCTCAGTTGCTCGCTTTTTCTCCAACTCCCTCGCTCCCTGTTGGCCAGCTCAGTTGTAAATTTAACAACCGAGTTATGACAACTGCCAGCAATTAAAATTGACAATTGATACGACAGACAACAGAGAAAGAGACACAAAAAATATATAAAAGCTGATGCGGGGGGTAATAAACGACGTTGTATGTATTTTTATGACTGATAGGCTTCGAGGCAGACGCAAGTTTACACGGTGCTAAGATTCTGATTTCTCCTATTCGCAAGTTTACACGTGGCAAAGATTGTGATTCTTGTTGATGGGTGAGTTAAAATAAATAAATTTGTTAACAAACAAAGTCTTACACGAGCCTATCTACAACTGTATACACAATATCCTCAGCTCGTGTAAACCTTCACAAAAAACATAAAACAGCGAAAACATTGCAAATGTCATAATAGTAAATACGTGTATCTATATCATACTCGCTGACACTAGCTATCTCTTTTAAGGCCAAATTCATCTGCATTGTCTTTTTTCACATTTTCGTTCATCAACTCGGTTCCGTCACACATTTCTTTTTGTTGTGAGATAGTTGGAAATTTGCTGAAACTAATTGATGCAAAGAGCTGGAAGAGAAGCACAACAATAACCATATGAGGATACCCTCTGCGAAATGGGATGACCATTTTCGTTGGGGCAAATATGACAATTGGCGGCATTATTAAAAATGCTACGTGCGCTAAATCTGCCGACATCAGCCAAATGGCAACCAGCTCAACAACAATTGCTAAAAAAAAAGTGGTGGGGAGGGAGTCAAAGAACCAAAACAGGTGAAACTGTGCGACAGTAAATGGACGTGTACCACACCTCGCCAATGGACATGCGTTGGAAAGGGGAAAATGGGTTGCCATGACAGTTGCTGATAGCGCACTCAATTTGCATTTTTGGCCGTGAGGGTGGGACGAGAAAAAATGTAAAAATCAACGGGTGCCAACAATTACTTTTTATAACTTTCTAGCTGGCACTTCAATCTCGGCCAGAAATTAGTTTGCCTCGCGCTGATTTCAGCTAAAAAGCATTTTGAAGTGGCAAAGGTGAGGAGTGGCTGCTGCAAGGGTGCTGCAATAAAGTGACAGGG